GTGTGTGGGTGTGTGGGTGTGCGGGTGTGTGGGTGTGTGGGTGTGTGGGTGTGTGGGTGTGTGCGGAAAAAGCACTAAGGCCCTGTGTGTGTTTGTTTCTCTCTCTCTCTCTCTCTCTCTCTCGCTCTCTCTGCAGCCCATGATCGGAGTGGGAAGCGGCATCAGCAAGTCGCGGCTTTCATCCTCCTGGTCAGTAAAGGCAGGGCAGCTGGGCGCTTCCACAGACTTTTACAGCTTGTATACATGTTTCTGCTCATCTCTGCATGCTTGCGCAAAAACTCGCGCACCGCGATGGACGTTTGTCATGCCGCTCCTCTTCCACGAGCGGCTGGGGGACCTGCCACGACAGCAAAGGGCTGCGAAAGGTGCAAAAGCAGCTTGTCTGCGCAAGCTTTGGGGCCTCCACGTCGGTGAAAACAGATTCTGGTTTGACAGGTGCACCTCAGCTTACATTGTGGAGAACCCCGGCGTGCGCCGCTACCCGACTGAAGACAAGCGGCTGCCGTGCTTGGCCACTGCCGACGATGTCGCGCAGCCCATGTCTCTCTTGTGCTCTCTCTCTCCGCTTTCTCCTGCCCTCCTGCCTGCAGGCTCAGTTACAAAGTTAGAAAGGTGCCGCGCATGCCAAGTAAACTGTAAAAACGATATCATGAGCTGATGACAGGCGCTTCTGCATGCACATAGACACGGGTCACGCCCTTTCGCTTGATTTCCAGGTTTGCGGTGTGTACAAAGGGCAGGTTCATGTTCATCACCCCGCCTCGGTGGCACAAGCTCACTTGCAGAGGCTTGTCCACCGCTCTGAAGAAAATCTGCACAATCAAACGATCTAGGTCACCTACCGAGACAGAGGCTCTGAACTGTTCAATGTCTTTGGCAGAGTAAGCAAGATCAGCTCGAACCCCCGACTCACCCGATAGGGAGTCACCATGTGCATAGCTTGATTTTTCGACTCTAAGCAGAGCTTGCAGCAGGCATCGGTATATCGATGGGCCAGTCGACGTCCAGAACGACCGGCCTCTTTGCCAGCCTTGGCGGCAGAGCACAATTGACAATGGCAACAATAAGGCCGTCAACTTTGAAGTCTTAAAGTAAGGCACCCGCGCTTTGATGGCCGATGGGTTCTCTTTGCTGGACAGGTCATAACCATTGATGGCGATGACGACCTCGGCTTGGGAAGCATCAAAGGGTCGCTGCCGACGACAAGCCTCCTCGTCGTCTCTGACAAGCAGTTCACCATGGGAGTGATGCGTCTGATGAGTCTGGTGTCTGGCTCTCATTCCTGGCCAAGCAGCCCCACCGACTGGAACGCGAGGGTTCTTTCTGTACGAGAGAGTCCCTTCCCTAACCTGGGCACATGCAGCCGCAGGAATCGCGCGACAACTTGCTCATCCAAGGTCCATGCCTCCAAAATCCAAGGAGGCACGTCTCGGGACAAGCGTATCCCAAGCAAACCTTCGTCTCTGAAGGTATATCGCACCTGAGTGGAAGACTGAATGCCTTCCAGCAACCCGTTGACAAAAGGGTGTGCAAGGAATTGCCAAAATAAGCGAGTCGACGGGTATTAGTGTTACTGCATTACCGGTGTCAATAACGTATGCGCAGAGGCACGATGCCCTTCTTGGGCGGCTTGCTCAGATTTTCCTCACAGCTTGTAGAGCTTGTCATAGCTTGTCAAAGTAGGGGTTACTGGCCCTCTCACATCCTCATCTTGTCCATGCCACGTTGACCAGCAAACAAGCAATTCGGCTCAGAGCTGGGTGGGATCGGGGCACAAGGCAATCTGCAAGGAAACATCCTGTCCTGCGCCTGCTGGCGAGCAGCAGCCGCCTGACGTAAAGACAAGCTGAGACTTTGACCTTCCAATTTCTTCCGACAGACTCTCGGTGGAAAACCGCGCGTCGCATCTGGTCCAGGTCCTGCCTCGGCCGCGTCCTCCTCCTCCTCGTCCTCCTCAGCGATGAGTGACCAGTAGGGAAGAACCCTGGAGCTCCGAAAACCTAAAGATCCTAAAAGATCCTGTGGGCCGGGCGGCCGGGTCCCTCTCGCTGGAGACGGGCGAAGGTCCCGCAAGCAGCGGAGCGTCCCTGCGACGGCCAAGAAGCCCAGACCCAGAAAAAAGCGCGCTCTGCCGCCGAGGCAGCCTCGGCTCTTCCTCCGCTTTTGCCTCCGCTTTCGACGTCGAAAAACGACTCTGAGGAGGCCGACGGCACAGCCGGCACAGCTCGGGCTGCTGCCTTCTTACTGGGCCGCTCCACCCCCGCATTCACGTTGCCCATCCACACCACGCTGTCCTACCACGACATGGAACATGCAGGAGCAGAGAGCACAGGAAGCACGGCTCCGTGCGCGTCCTTCAAGGCCGGCAGTGCCTTCTGAAAGGCGGGGGCATCCCCGGCCATCAGCGCAGCCAAGGCGGCCTCTCCGGCCTCGTGGTCCTGACGACTATACGACTGAGGGAAAGCACTCTTCCGACATCGAAGACATCCAGCGTGGACGTGGCCGAAGGGCCTTGGCGAGCTTCTCGGGCCGGCTGGCGGAGACCTCGCTCTCGCGACATCTCCGTTGCGCTCTCAGGGCGCTCGCCTCGGCGAGCCATGGCGGGAAGCGCCTCCGCCTCCGCCCGCCGGGCCGCAGGTGCCGCGAAGGGGCAGGCGCCGGTGCCTGGCGTCTGCGACTCGGCCCTGGCTTGTGGCAGCCTCTTCAGCTCGGGCCTGAAGGCAGCAGCTTGAGGTCCTCCTTCTTCATGCAGTCCATGGGACTGAGCCTGGATCGCGTTGGAACCCCGCACTCCCGCCGACCCCACGTCCGCAGTATCCCCGGGCGAGCTGCGAGAAAGCGTGGAGCCACTTCCGCTGCTTCGAGGTGCTCCCAACGCGGCCGAGGCCTGAAAACGGGACAGACGCAAACGAAGACGCCCAGACAGGCCGTCTGAAGGGCACCTATGCAGCGGCAGGCATGCTCCCGCCGCAGTGCCTTCCGTTAAAGCACAGCAGAGCACAGCAGAGACCACACTAGGACCTAGGAAAAAGAAGCTGCGCCTTGAATGGCGTCCGTTGGTAGAAGATGTCTGCTGCACCACATATGTGATAGCCTCAGGCGCAGACAGACAAGTTCAGGCCTGGCCCCAGACCCCCGGGCTTTGAGGGCCCGCACGCGGCTCGAGCGCCGCACAAAGCTCCGCAAATGGCGGTGCAGCAGCATCCTGCTATCTCGCAAACTGCGGGGACTGTACTCAGCTTCCAAAACTTCGAAAGGGTGGCGGACCCACTCTCACTGGTGAACCTCCATGAAGACCCCGAATCTCGATCCGTCGAAACTTTCAGGATTCACCCGCGTGGAAATAGCTTGAATGATGATAGCTGTGGCAGTGTCGAACAAATTGAACGGAAGATCGCTGCCGAGATGAACGAAGCCGATCTGCCTACTCACAGATGCTGCAATGGTCACGAAGCAGACAAGGAGCAGGAAACGATCCACAAAGGTAAATGCGAATGCAAGGCACACCCTTCTCTCATCCAACGTTCATCGGAGGCGCACACCTAGCCTGAGTTCCATAGCCCTGCCCTCCCGGCCCGCCGCCTGCCAGCGAGAGCCCTCCACTTCTGGAGGCTTTGCGGAGGCCTCGACCGGAAACCGAGCAAAAGCCGCCTTCGGCTTCCGTGGCTTCCCAGGTGAGCCTCCAGGCGCTGGTCGAGGCCCTGCGGCCAGCCGCTCGTCAACAAGACGTCGATACCCCCTCAGCGGATCTCAGCGGCTGCGCGCTGAGGAGCATAGTATAGGACGTGTCAGGTCTACTCCGTGGGATGGGTGTCAGACTGGCCGTGTTTTGGGTTGGACATGAGGTGTCCCTGGGCTGCGGGCCCTACACTGATCTACACTGCCTCGACTCGGTCGTTCCAAGGCCAAGCGGCGTTTCCACTTGTCCTCCGCGACGACGCGCCTGGAGCCATGCAAAGCAGCTCTTCGACGGGGCTCGACTAACTGAGCTGAGTCGTCCAAAGATAAGTGGCTGTAGGATCCTTGTGCGATTTGAACCCCAGGTTTCAACCGCTACAGCACTTTGTGAAGATTCGTTGCAGATGGCTTTGTTCACACCATGCTGGCTAAACCGGCCCGAAGATTTAGCCATCGCAACATTGCACCACGTCGAAGGGAATCCCAACCGCCAGCTTCCCGGCTGGCCTCAAGCCACTCACAGCATTTGCTGTGAATGCGCTCCCGACAAAGTCTGCGCCAGGTGTCTCATACCTCGAGGCAGATGATGCAAGAAAAGCAAGAGGGAATCATGAAAACTTCAGTCTTCAGCTCTCGAGGCACGGAGGCTTGTGTTTTATATCATAAGTCGGCTCCAGCCACTGCAGCATGCATAGCTCCACAAGACCCAGAAGGACAGCACCTAGCGATTGTGAGTAGTTCGCAAATTTGCTATTATATATCTATATATATATATGTAAATATTCAATTTGCAAGATTGTACATCACCCGGATATGCTGCCACTGGAATCTCCTGGCCGGGCGGCTTCTGAGCATCGTAGTCACCGGACAAAAATGCCACCCGGAGGCCACAGATCCTGTTGACATGCAGGAAATAAGAATCTCGGCGTATTTCAGCACATGTTCTTCCACACAGGCGAAGAAGCAGAAAGACAAAAACATTCGATGGGCGGGTCGACAAACTGATAGCCAGACGGACCGACAGGCAGGAGGAAGCAGGCAGAGGACACGGAAAGATGAAGACAAAGACCACCCAGGCCAGACACGAGCTCCACCCGCAGCAAAGCTTGCAGATGCTTGGTGGACGTCAAGACTCCTCAGCCCCATACCCCCAACTTCAAAAGAGAACCCTTCCGATCCTCCCCGGGATTAACAGGGTAGGCAATGTAGGCAAAGGAGTAAGCAGCCAGCTAGCTAGCTAGCTAGCTAGCCAGCTGATCTGAGGATGTGCACTTATACCCATGCATAGGCGCAAGCCCCCATGCATGCATGCAGCAAATGGGCACATTCGCAAATACGTACGCACATCGATACATAGATTTGCAAATATCTCGATAAACAGATGCAAACATGCACACTGCATGCACATACGTACACGTGCACGTACATGCATATTGTCTGCGATGCCACTGTCTCAAACTTGCTTACACGATATGGTCGCACATGGCTTAAACATGACATGATATATAATGCAAACCGTACCTGACAGGACCGGCATAACGTCACATCACATCGCATCGCACCAGTGGATGGAGGCGCACGCCTTTGTCTTAACTTACGGCAAGGTCTTCACTCACAGACATGCATAAACACATTGACATACAGACATACAGTACATGGTTCATTACATGAAAAATCATATTTAGGAACATGTCCGCTTTCAACGACAAACCTAAAGGAACACAAGTTGGTGAAAAGATGTAGCACATTCGCATTTGCACATCATGAACGTGTTTCTACACTTACATACGTACATACATACATACATACGTGCATACATACGTGCATACATACATGTATCAGTACATACATACATACATACATACATACATACATACGTACGTACGTACGTACGTACGTACATACGTACCTACCTACCTACCTACCTACCTACCTACCTACATACATACATACATTCATACAATACGTACATACACACATTCATACCTACACACATACATACCTGCCTACCTACCTACCTACCTACCTACATACATACATACGTACATACATAGCCACATACCTACCTACCTACCGACCGACAGACAGACATACATACATAGATGGCCACAGAGCTGCCAGGCCACGTCTTGACCCCGTAGCCACCGAGGAAATGCAGATTCTGACAGAGAGTTCCTCGGAAAGCACAAGCTCGAAGATGCTCGAAGCTTTCGACACCCTTAGCCGGGAGACGCCCTTGAGGTGCGGCCTGGAGAAGTGCAGGGCAGGCGTCGATGAAGAAGGTCCTTCGAGGAGCGTCGCAAAGTCGACTGGAGCTGCTCGACGGACAGACGGAGTCACATGCAAAGCTTGCAGACCAGCCGCTCGATTGGAACCTGTTTCTCCCCTGTCAAGTAGGGTATGAGGCCTGCCAAAAAAATGGAACCTTTGTTGATGTTGATGCGAGAGAGAGAAGAACTAACTTCTCCGGTTCACTGCCAGGGCCTTCGAAGCCCTCGTTGACGGGCAACGCGCGGCCCACGCAGAGGAGCGCCTGCACTGCAGGAATCACGTGGAGGAAGCGTCCAAGTCCAACTCTGCTTCCACTTCGAAACGTTTCATGCGTACACAACACTCCACACTGTGTACTGAACCGAAAACCCAAAACCCTAAAACCCACACTCGGCTGCAGATGCTGCCGCATGTCCAGCAGTTCAAGCCTCTGCACCACCAACCTTCGCCGCCTGCGCCTTGCGGGGCTCAGGTGCTGAGCTTAGAGTAGAAGCGCCAGGCTCTTGATTTCTTCGGTCCAGCCTGCACAGTAGACAAGAGCTTGTCCTGAGACAGCAAGTTTCCAATGAGTTACTGCAAGCAAAACAACATACAGCTCGCAAACCCGGACGCTGATTCAAGCATGTGCTGTGCACATCCCGGGAGTGCCGACATTTGTCCCACTAATCCATGCCCAAGTCTCCAGGTTGCCACGCACGTCGCCGCTCACGAAGATTTTGTGAGGTCGGGCCTCCTGCGCCAACTTCTCTGCAACCTTGCGCTTGAGTGCCTAAGCTGTTCAGGCGCAGCGCGGCTTACAAGCTCTGCTTCCTGTCACAGTCTGAAACTTGCATCTCACGTCGGCTTAGACGGGGAGTGACCTTCGGTGACGCAGCCGGCAGGCGCAGCGCAAACGGCAAGGCAGCAAGACCCGCTTCTGCTTCCCTACCTTTCCCCTTCTATCTCTAACCTCTTCCCATTGCATTGCGAGCCAGCTGCGGCTTCTCGCTCCACCTTGGACAATTCGACACAGAAGCTGTCACAGCGCCTGTCTCACTATGTCTCACTCTCACATCTGCTCACCATGACCGGGTCTGCGGCCTGTTCACGCTTCTTCTTGTCCTCCGCCTGTGCGGCTGTGGCTGCAGGCAAGGCAGCGACGAAGCTCTGAGAGGCGGCCTGCTTCTTGATCCTATCCAGCTCATGGAAGCCTCAGAGTCTCCCAGCAGATACCGTCAGAAACAAGGCCGGATTGTTTCAGTCATGTCACGGTCCATCATGTAGGCCTCAGCGGGTGCCAAGCTTCAGCTTGTTCCCTGGAACTTCCTCATCCGAGCAGCATTGTGTTCACGTTCCGCCGCTCTCTTCCTGGCGCGCTCTCGCGCCTCTTTCCTGAGCTGGTTGCATGTGCAGGGTACAGAGATGTGAAGCTCTTGGTGTCTGGAAAGCCTTGGGCCAAGCAACATGTCGTCCGTCATCCCGCTGGACGCCCTCACGAGCCTCCGAGGCTTCACAGCTGAATCTTTCACGAACCCTGCTTGGGCCGCTTGCTTTGCAACGGCATCTGTGCGGAAGCAGCCTGGTGAGCTTCAAAGGTGCAACTGCGGCACGCCGCGGCGGTGGCACCCGGGCTGGGCCCTCCAGCGACTTAGGCCAACGCAAGCATCGGTGAGGCTTCGGCTTTGCTGCGCTTGAGACTGGGAGGGCCCGAGAAATTACGCGGGGGGTAGGTGGGTGTGCTGACTAAGTGTTGCAGCGTGTGCCAGCATGGAGACTCACGGGGCTGGAACGGAGACCTGGGTACAAATAACAAGTTGATCCGGAGTGGCTGCAACAGAACATGAAATGAACGACACTTTACCCAGTCGCATGGCACCTCAGCGAGTCAGCAGCGCTCATTTCCGTGTCCACCGGGTCTGGGCAGATGTCGGCAACTGCTTGCGGGCATTTCTCCGCAAACCCAGCATTCGGCCCCTTACGGGCTGCGGGTTGTTGCCCTCCCTTAGCCTCTCGCTGGGTGGCGGAAATGCTCTCAAGCGCGGTGGCCCAGTCCCCTCCCGGCTCAACAAGGACTTGGTCCGATGCGGGAGGGGCCTTCAGGCTTCAGCTTCAACGGGATGCGCAGGCGGCAGAGACCAGGCTCACTGTTGGCGAAGGCTCACCTCGCCTGTGCTCCCAAGAAAAACTACCCCAAGAGGAGCCTTCCCTCCTCTACAGTGGCACCGCAAAATTGGGGAATGCTCATCCAGCGTGCTGCTGGCAAAGCCTAATGCACTCGAGATTCTGATAGCTGCTCAGCAGCGATAATCATGGCATCGGGCTCCAAGCTGATGCCAGAGGTGTCAGAGTGGGCGGCGACCGCGCCTGGCCGGGCCTAGCCAAGCCTGATTACGGGGATCTGCAATGCCGCAGAAATCGATGTCAAGGGTCTCGCCACTTGAGCATGCCCGTTCTCTCTGATGGTCTCATGTTGCTACGTCGCCCACTCTGCGGTGAAATGGGGCCTCCTAAGTGGAAAATCAAAATGCATGCAGTGTACGGCTTTGCACCGAGGTCCATGCATGGCAGGAACATCTGAAAGGCCTGAAGAACCTCTAAACTTGAACAAGGGTGGAACTGTCTGTCCTCTTCTTCTTTGCACACTCTCATCAATGCCACAAGACTCCAGTGTCCTGCGAAGACTCCTGCGAGGGAAGGTTCCGGTTCCGTCAAGCCAGGGAGTCTGGCCGCTCACTAGGCGGAAGATAACGACCGCAGCACCTCCAGCGAGGCAGTGAGCCCTCGTCGACGCAGCGAGTAACACGAAGAAAGAACGAGGGCCGCAGGGGCCGCAGGGGCCGCATGGGCCTGTGGCCGAACGCCAAGATGACCAGAGTCATCTTCATTTTCCACTTGGAGCACCGCGCCTGGCACGGGGACCACCGCGCTCGGCAGAGAGCAGAGGATGAGAGTCGGACAGGCGTCCGTCCATTCGACGAGAGTCCACAAACTTCGCGGAAACACGCCGTCATGGCTGCAAAGTTACAGTCATCGCCAGCAGACGGGCTTTGCAATGGGGCTCTGGCCATCATTGTGGTTGCCCTCATAGTCGCGAGCAGAGAAGACTCGCACGAGGGACTCATTGTGCATCACGTCGAACCCTCAGGAGCTCGCATCTATGTCGGGCAAATTCCGGTTGCTGATGCGAACCCTCCATTGTTACAGTTGTGGAAACCAGCTCAGTGGAAATGAGCAAGCATGAGACTGAATCGTACATCACATGAAGACGCTATCTCAGAGCTGCACCGAGTCCCCACTTCTTCGACCTCAATCACCGTTGCAGGACGCTAAGCCGCAGTAAAAAAACTTTCCCGAACGCTGATCCAATCGTGAAATCTTCACAGATACACAATAAGCCCTGCACTGGTGACTTCGCACCACAAGGTCGAGACCGTTACGGACACAAAAGTCCTGCAAGCGTTGGCAGCTGCATGCAGCTGCTGCGCTGGAGATGCAAATGCCGTATAAAGGCTACAGTACGGCTACTGTATGTGTCGACAGCAGCAGAAGGGACGTTTTGCACTTGCCAGCGAACGTATCTTTTGGGACCCCGGAAAACCCAAGCCAGACAAACGGCCTGTGTGACATTCCAGCCTCAGCAACTGGAAACGTGGCGGCGACTCGACTCCGCGATGCTAGTGCTCTGGTGGTGCTACTGCAACCACATCAAGTCCCAGACCGAAGCGCACAGCGATTTTGCTGCGTGCTGAAGCATGCCTCAAGGCGACAGGGAAAGAGGGTTTCCACACTGGTTGCATGGTCCGTTGCTTTCTGCGTTGCTTTGACAAGGAAGAGCCTTAGCGGCAGCCTTACTTTAAACCAAGATTCCATCCCAACTGAGGTTCTTTTCGAACTGCAAGTCTCACAAGCATTTCAGAAAGATTCAGAAAGTACAGCTGCATTCCTTGTCCCTCCGCTCAGAAGCCTGCTGGGGCTAGCCACCTGAACCTCGGCAAATTCCTTTATTGCTCGACTGAGCCTCCTGAATGGGCTTTGGAGGAATCACCTCCGTTCATGCTGAAACTGAAACTCCCATGGAACCTCGTCTTGAGCTTATCATCTGGAAAGCATAGCGCAGGAAGATGAGTAAGCTGTAAATCTCTCCGAAGACGGCTGCTCAGAAGACTAGCTAGTAGCGTAAGGGGCGGAAAGCAGCACAATCAAACTTCTATGAGGCGGCACCTCCTCGGAGCACAGCACACTGAACCTAATACCCAGCCTTGACATTAGCTCACTTAAGCCCAACCCCCATCCTCCACCGCGCAGATTCAGAAGCATTCAACCTCAGAGGTTCGGGCACTCCAAACACCTTGGAAACGGCGCAGTCGTCCTCGATCGGATCCGACCTTGGCCGCGGGGCTCTGTTGGGGCTTCCTGCCTCCTTGTGTTTTCGGTGCCGCCAGTTTTGCATCGCACAGACCAACACCAAGCGCTGCACCAAAGTATGTTCCAAAGGACTCGGTTCTCCGGAGCCTGCAGGCACATGAAGAAAGTTGCTCTTCACATGAAGCTTGACTCGAAACTCACTGTGTCTCCCGTGGCTACGACGGACAAAATCCATCCCAAATATCCAACAGGGGTCACTCCCCTGACAGGAAAAAGACACTACGGGAATGCCAGTCTGGCTGTAGCTGCCAAAATTGGCGGACCGGTATATGGCTCAGCTCAGAAATGATACCTGCGCACCCTAGCCTGCCAAACTCGATGCATGAACAGGATCCACCCAGTTCCCTTGGACCTGCAGCTGGTTGTGGTTCAGAGGCCGCTGGACCTTTCGCACATCGTCGAGCTTCCTCAGAGAAGAACTCAACCACAAGGCGAACCGGAGAATGCCGCCCACTCACGTCCGCACTCAAGCGCTGCCACCCTCCTCATTCAGCTGTCCAGCCCTCCAGCCCTGAACCCGAGGTCTCTGCCACTTGCCGTCGCCAATGCCACCGTGCCTAGGCCGCACGCAAGGTTAGGTTGAAGCTCTCGAGCACCTCGCAGAAAAGGCCCTGGCAGGGCCAGGACCTTGCCTCCCACAAGGCAGGCCTCGGCGGCAGAGGAGGGCAGGGCACCGGATTTCGGAGAGAGCTTCTCCAGGGGCCCTGACGAAGGGAAGGTACTGAAAGGCCCGGGAGACGGCCTTGGGATTGCGAGGCGAACTGAAGTTGGCCCATAAAACTCGGAGACATCCCGGAAGCCTGTGGCATTTTCTATGAGGCACCGGCAGCATAGACTCTATGTCCAGCTTCGCCAGGGAAAGATTGCAGAATCATCTGCGTGCGGACCGGCTGTGTTTGGGAGCTCTGCTAATGGGAGAAAACTGCGCACTCGGGAAGCTTCGAGTTATATGAATGAAGCTTCGAGTTAAATGAATCTAAAACATATTTACATTCTCGTCCAGAACCACAGTTGCAGCCTTTTGGAAGCCGTACTTCTCGTTCATGGTCGAGTCCTGCCGACGTACATCTATTGGTCTGTGCACTGGATCAAATACAAGCAGACGATCAGATGTGTGCACAACCACACCCCCTCTTCTGCCTAGCACCTGAATTGCCTGGCACGTCCTGCTTTCCTCAGTTTGACAACCTGATGTTGTGAGAAACTCCTGTGTCCGTATCCTAGACCCTTCCTATATGGCTTCCCGACTCTGGGGTCCTCATGGTTTCCTCGATTGAGGAACACCTGCGTCGGAAAGAGAACCTGACGTTGTCACAAGAGTCCGGGAGTAAGCCTGGGCGTCCATCCCGAAGAGCTGAGCCGGGCCTTCAGGGCAAAGAGGACGAGCGCCGTCTCCACCTGATGCCTGTGGACCCGGAAAAAGAACAGCACAAGCTTGGCCACGAATTCTTAAATTCTTTCTGTCAGTCTGGAGTCTGGAGCTCCAGAGCTCGGGCCGGCACTTGCCACGATCCACGAAGTCTCCGTTGAAGACGCAGCGAGGGCAGTCTTGGGTCCCAGGCCTCGGGAAGCTTGCGACGACGCATTCCTGCTGCAAGCAAGAAGAACGCATCTAAACTAGGAACTATGATTCGGCTCCGATTGTCAGTACTGTACCACCAGGATGAAACGTGGGAGGACTCCCAGCACTGCAATAGGTCCCCAGTGCTTTCCGGACTTTCACTCGGCAAGCTGGAATCTTTCTTGTTTTCGGGGCTCCGGCATGCCGAAGGAATGGAACCTTGGATTCGGATAGAAGCATCAGCTTCAGGAGACCTTTGCGATAAAAGCTTCTACTTTGGCTGCTTTGGCTTCTGAGCTCCCACACAGAAGGAGCAAGTCTCGCAGCTGTCCATGGATGTCGCCAAATATCTTGCAAGGTACTTCTACCTGTGCAGTCCAGGCTAGCACGAGCCATTCTGTCACTCTTGTTCGCATGCCTCTGTGAGCGACGGCTGCGCCGCGAGGACGTGCTGGCACCCGTCGATCAAGGCGAGCGCACCTGGGTGCAAACGAATGGGCTGGTCACACTCTGCTGTGTGTAGGGGCCTAGGGGCCCAACTCTGGGCCGCCTCAGCCTCGCTCTCCGCTCCTAGTAGTCGCCACCTCAGAAGACGCGGCCGCGCCGGGCCCCGGCGGCCGTTTGGGTTTGGGGATTCTGTGTTGAAGCTTTTGGCTCCCGGCAGCACGTTCCCGGAATCCCAGCGATTGTGCTCCACATCCTGTCATGGGATTTCGACTCAGTGTTCCAAGCCTCAGCCCAACGGATTTTGCTTCCACAAGCTTCGCCTCTTCTTGCGCCACTTCGGGTGCCAGCTTTTGGAGCTCGGAGTACACCTGCCCCCGTGGCTAAAGTACTGAGAAGGCAAGCTACGCCCCGTGTTGTTTCAGGCTGTGTCTACACGGCCCGTGCAATTTCTGCAGATAAAGTCAGATAGAGCAGAGAGAGGGCGACGGGGGCAGCACCTTTGAAAGTCCCGCAACGGGGCGAAGGGTCCCGAGAAGAAGCAAAGGAATTATCCCGTGGAGCTGTGGGGCCTGTCGTGCCGCCTTGGTGCAGGCCGCCTGGCAAAGTATATATGGCAAAGTATATATCGGCAAGCGTTGAAAACAGTGTGTGACTGGGGAGCCCTGTATTGCCCAATTACGAAACCGTCCTCGGCGTCGAGGGCCGACCTGATGCACGTTTCAGTAGTCACCATAGCCACAACTCACCGTGAAAAATGCGTCCCTGCTCTCCTCCGGCTCTTGGCACCGGGCCGAGTCCTCCTCTCATGAATCACACGCTTCGGCACCTCTTGCACCTGCCTCGGTGTGATGATCAAGCATCCCCCATGCTTTGGGTCTGGGGGGTAGGTAGGGTAGGTAGGGTTGGTAGGTTTGTAGGGTGGTAGACCAGTGCGCAGATGCGCGGTGCTTGGGGGTGGTGCAGCTGACCGAGCGGGTGGCGTGAATCGTCGTGCGATTGGTGCTGAACCAGGCTTGGTGCTTGTCACAGGGTTTAAGCATGATTGCTGGAGCTCGCGGAGTGCTCACCTTCTGGGCTCCCGACACCTCTCCGGTCTCGTAGTCGAGGTAGTCATACTCTCGATGGATGTAGACCTGGCTCTACAATATCCGGCTCTGTCAAGGAGCGGAGGCAGGAATGGCAGGAAGCAAGCCGGCCCGACCGATGGGCCACAGTCCTCCCAGGCATTTCATGACATGTCGGTGGAGATACACGCTTGCAACATCCCAGATGTGTGCCTTGCAGACGGGGATGTGGCACTGGGCGCACACGAAGTGCATCTCACCCGCCCTTGGCGTACAGAACCATCACCAAAGGGAGCACTGGCGTGCTCTGCACGATTGCTGCAGGAGTGCTTCGTCCAGTCCAGAGGAAGTCACACTGATGACAGCTAAATATATCGATTCATCCGTTCGACCAAGCCCGGCGCAGGATGTCCCCCTCGCAGCGCGAGCACTCCTGACAGGAATCCGACAGGAAGGGACGAGGACCAGTCGTGCGGAAGACGAGCCTTCGTGGGGCTGCACATTAGGAAAGTCTGATAAGTCGGCAGACGGGCATAGCGGTGCAAGGGCCGTCCTGAGCGACTTGACACCACTGCCACTGACAGTTCTCACTGAATCATCCTAGCAGCTCCTAACTCCTAGCCGAAGCCCTAACCAGTCTGCAAGACATCTCGGCGCCCCCACCGCATTCGCAGAGCGCCCGATGGTTACTGCTTGACGGCTTCACGCCCTCCTCCACTCTCCTCCGGGCCGGCAGGCCTACAGTGGCCTACAGCCTACAGCGGAGGCAGCGGAGGCAGTGGAGGCAGCGGAGGCAGCGGAGGCAGAGCGGCAGAGCGAGTGTCTCGGGTCTCTCGCAACTTCGCTCCTTGTAGCCTCGTCCCAATCAACTTCGTCTTCGAGAACATCCTGGCGGGCTTGCACCAGGGCAGCACATGCCACTGGGTTCTCTCCTGCTGCAGCCCTGCACTATGCTTGCAGGGACAAGCTGGAAAGGGACCCCGCCTCGTAAATTTTACAAGCCATGCTTTGCATCAGAACAGCTGGAGCAAAGCAAACTATAGAAGTGTCATGTGCTGCACTTACACATGCTGAGACATGCCGCAGGTAGCCGACAAGGGCTGCGATTGGAAGCTAAGACGTCTGAAGGACTTCGGCCGTGCTCTGCATGTGCCGTGCACGGATGTGCTACTAGAATGCGCAAAAAAGTATAAGAGCCGCAACTCGCGGGCACTCTCATGCGTCAAGTTGGACACATGTTCAGGCTACCATGCCCGAAGGCCGACATGCTGCTCCGGGTACTCACTTAGGACCGTAGCTTCACACAGTAGCTGCTGCACTTTTCATCCCGAAAAGGTCGCGGCTTGTCGTGTCGAAAGGCCTAGGGGAAAAATGCCTTCGGCATCGGTCCACGGTAACACAAAAACACACGCATTATCAACACTGATCTGGCAGACAGGCGACGGTTTCTCATGTTGCTGCTGTAGCCATGTATGTTGTATGTTGCCTCTGTGGCCGCATAACCCTTCATGCCATGATGACGAAGGTCCAGTGCACCTCATTGACTCCAGTCATCTCTTCCGTCTTTTTCCTGACAGGAAGGAGCATCTTGCTCCATGGCATTCCAAAACACGTCACATGCATTTCTTCTAAAATCCGGTGCATGATCCTTTACAAGACGACATGAAGGAACCACCATCTTCAGACCGGGCCTGGCATCTAGAAGCCGTTACGTCCCCAAACCACGAGCGCAATGGACATGGAGAACATCGACAGCAGCACCACCTCTGGCGATTTCGGAGTGAGATGACGGAAAACCACTGCGACATCTGAGCGACCTGTTCCTGTGCCACCGTGGAAGACGAGATTTGCTACATTTTGCTACAGCAAAGAGTGCATAGTCTCTCATCAACTTTACTGGTGTGTTTTTGGGCTCTCGGCGAAGGTGATGTTCGGGTTCTCCAGCGGGGACAGATCCGCCAAGGCAACGCTGCTGGCAATCTCCGGGACCTGAACACAATATAGGATCTCCATTTGGGGATTCCGGACATGTTCGGGATCTTTCTGTAATTTTGGGTGTCTATCTTCACCCTGTCAGGGCCCATTGCTCCCTGAACCGTGAGCAACCCCACCTACCACTCCGATCCGCCGACCTGAGAAGCCGCAGAATGCGCGGCGCTGGCCACTTCTGGAGCCTCCCAGGTGCGGCGCCAGAAACGCGGCCGAACAACGCGACTCCCTCGGACGGAAAAAATCCCGGGCTCTCTTCGTCTCCGCTGCGCTTGGGCACCTGGACCAGCGGACCCACGAAGGCCGGAGCGCAGAGCAGCCACGCCTGGGAGACAGCAGGAGTAGCATCAGTAACTCTAGCGGGCGGTCGTGGTAGTGGTGGTGGCAGTGGCAGTGGCAGTGGTAGTGGTAGTGGGAGTGGGAGTGGCAGTGGTAGTGGGAGTGGCTATGGCGAAGTGGAGCATCAACCGCAGCAGCAGCAGCAGTTGACTTTGAGATTGCTGTTGCAGGTGTTGGTGCTGTCGCTGCTCCTTCTCCTTCTCCTGCTGCTGCTACTGCTACAGCTGCTGTTGCCGTTGCCGCTACTGTTGCCGTGTAGTTGATGCTGTTGCTGTTGCTCGCGCTGTTGCTGTAGCTGCGGCTGTGGCTGCGGCTGCAGCTGCGGCTGCGGCTGGGGCTGTGGCTGCTCCTGCTGTCACTTATTGGTGTTTCTGTGGGTGTTGCAGCTGCAGTTGCTCTTGCTTGCTGTGGCTGCTCCTGGGGTCTCTTGTTGCTGTCGCTGCCGTTGTCAGTGTGGCCGTTTGCTGTCGCTGTCGCTGCTGCTACTGTTTTTGCTGTGGCCACGGCTTTTGCTGTTGTCGCTACTGTTGCTGCTCCTGCTGTCCCTTGTTGCTGTTGCTCTTGAAATCGCTTTTGCTGCGGCTGGTGCTTGTGTTTCAAGCTCGAACACGCGGCCAGCAGGGACGAAGGCTCCGAACTTTGGGCTCTTTGACTCTCACCGGCCCCCCACAGCGCTGAGGCCCTGACGCAGAGGGCAAGACCGATCACAGCCAGGGGAGAGCGTCGCCTGAAAAACAACGGCTCTGAGGCCCCCTACAACAAAACCTGGGCCTCCTTGTAGCTTGTTGAAATTAAAGACCTAATTCTTTGTCTGGGGTTCTCTTCTTCACATCTGCGACCGATCCGGGAAGCGAAACAGAACTCGAATGCCCTGATACCACGGAAACCATGGACGCCGCAACGGCCCATGAAGTGGACCACAAGGGCCAACATGCTAGTTATGGCCAACTCTTCGGCAAATTGTACTGACAGCCTTTTAGTGAGCGTTTACAAGCCCTGACTCAGACGCAGACGCCATTGCAGAGCTGCAGGACGTCCAGAGGCTTCGGTACTTGAGGCGTGAGACGGCTGGCAAGGGCATTTGATTCGTTTGATGCATCAAACGAGGAGCTGGCAACCGCCGGGGAATTTTCAAGCCACTGCAGTGCCAGTCAGCCGCAATGCCATTGCTTTTCTCCTGGAGCGCCCTCGCTGCGCCGCAAACGCGTACGAGTGCTAGAGATTTGTAGAATTGATGCGCATCTCAGCGCAAGTGCAGCCTTCCACGGCAAAAGCTCCTCCTCTAAGCAATCTAAATTACCAGGCACCATCAGGCACCTAACTAGACGGTGTCTATTCTCTTCTTCGACATTCAGCTTGGTAGCAGGAGCGTGTCCCGATTCTCCGCTCAGAGTAGCCTGACTCCCTGCACGGAGCATAACAAACTCCTGTGTGCATGGGTCGGGTGTCTGTGGGAGCCATGGCCTGGGCATTTAGAAGCCGTTGCGGCCCCAAACCACCAGAGCGATGGACATGGAGAACATCGAGAGCAGCACCACCTCAAACAGCGCAAAACAAGGCCCAACGGGCCGGCCGCCCATTGCCGGGGCCCTGGCGAAGGTGATGTTCGGGTTTTCCAAGGGGGACAGGTCGGCGACGGTCACGCTGCTCGCGATGTCCGCCGCAGCCTTCCCAAAAGAAGCGCACTGAGTGCCACAACAAAGGAGCCCGAGACCGGCCGGCCGAGGCTGAGCCTGGGAGGCCACAGAGTGCGAGCTGGCGACCTCGGGAGCCTCCCAAGAGAGACCAAACTCAGAGGTCCACCCCAAGTTCTGCGCACGAAGCAAAGCGCCTGCTGGATCATTGGGCCCAGGAAAGTGGGCGCACAGAGGAGCCAGCCCTCGGTGACGGGGTTAGGATCAGTGCAGCTGCCAGGTTCTTGCTCTTAGGAATCGCAACGCAGCTGCTCTTTTTCCGCAGCTTTGGCGGCGTGGGTGCTAGGCCATGACGAGGAGTGCGCGGATGAACCGAGACTTCCTCCTCTGCTTACGCCTCTCTTCCAGCAGGTCAGCATCCGCCACTCCGGTGCACTTAGACTTGCAGGCTTAGGAAAATGGCACCGCGGCTCTTCGCCACTGCGAAAAACGGTAAAGGACCCGCCAGCTCGGCGCTCAGCCAAGCAAGGCCTCGGATGCTCAGAAAGAGACTCCAACAAGCACAGCTTCTGTTGGGCACAATCTGATCTCAGGTGCCGGAATGTTGAACCACAGGGAAGGTGTTGTCGCCAACTCCACCAATGTCAGCGTGGGTTTCCTCAGTTCACTCAGGCATGTGTCTCGAGTGTCAGCAGGATTTATGACATCATGACATCCAAAGCTGAAGGGAAACTGTCACCAGTCGCTCTTTCACCGTCTTCGCCACGCCCGCAAACTGCAACGAAAAGCTGCACCACTCGCACCCATGTACTATGAAGTTATGTGACGATTTCTCTGTTCCTTTGTGGTGTGCAGATGTTTCACGAACTCAACAATTTCAACATTATTCGGTTGAACAGCCCGTTTAGTCACAAGGTACGCCTCGAATCTACGATGCTCAGGTTTCCTGCTGTGATTCTCTGTCTGAGTGGCTTGGCGAAGGGAAAGAGCTCTGCAAAAGCATCTCGCGGCAGCTCTTCACCACGCCTTGACAGAATTCTCTAGCAAATGGCGGTAGATTTCAACGTCAGTAAGATAGTAAGAGACAAAAGGCTGGATTGCCCAGTACTCGGCGAGGAAGTGAATCTGCCGGATGCCTGTAACCTCGATATCGTCCCATACACAGGGAACTGTGAGCAAGGGACGTGATGAGGTTGGAAGGGGGGCCGGGGCGGAATGATGTTGCCTGCATGCTGGTGAGACCAGATTCTCTGCAGAGGCCGGGCGGCAAAGTTCCAACCAGGTATCAGCAAACCCCACGGATCCAGAGGTGCCTTGGCTGCTGGGCAGAAGGTTCAACAGGTCGGGGGCAGAGCGAGGGCGAATGCAACCACAAAGATGGAATGATCGCAAACACGTACACTACATGCCTACGAACCGAATGCTGCAGAACGTAGGGAAGTTGTTTCGAACCAAAAACATCGGCCCAGCCGGGCCATCCCTGAACCCTAAGTGTGTAGGCCCTATACAGCCTCTACATCCCTGGACCCTCTGTGAGATGCTGGGAGGCAGGTCGACCGATCTCCTCGAAGAGCTGGTTCACCTCGGCGCATGGAAGCAGCGAAGCCTTCCCTTCTCGAAACAAGGCGAGACCGGAACCCATGTAGAATTGTGCTCCCTGCCTTGTTGTAGAGGAACCACTGATTCAGATAGATCCAGGCAAACGCGCTGTAAAACCTTGGGCGGTGGGCAGCAAAGATTGCAGCTCCAAGGCTAAGGCTCGATCCACTCAGTTTCGCGGCACGGCAAATAAAACCTGGGGGGGGGGTGGATGACATGAGCCGCACGAGTCACTTCAAGTCATTCCTTCCTCTCTAACCTCTTCCGGAAGATCACGGGGCCCCGCGATGCTATCCTAGGAACTGCTCAGTGAGACGGCCACTGGTCAGCTCATTGGTTTATGTCCTGCTGACTGCTCAAGTCTTTCGGAAGCACTTGCCTCTGGTTTGGCAAAGGCACGCCGTTGAGAAGGCGTTGTCAAAGAATCCTCCCTCCAAGGCTCCGTAGGCAAACCTGGGACACAGCTCTCCGACTTGCAACGGTGGAGCTTTTAACTTGCTTGCCTTGAGTGAGTTTCGTCAGATTACGTCAGTTACCTGGCTGAATGCTGTTTCTGTGTGACCCTCAGCCTCCAGGAGTCCCTGCTATTCAGGCCAGGCGCTCGCCAAACACACCTCCAGAGCGATGGACTAAGAGTCGCAAGGACGGGCTGCTCGCAGTCCCGGCCTGCGAAGAGGCCCAAAGCGAAGGGGACGATCACCTCAGGAGCCCGAGATCCATCCTAGAGAGACGGGGTTTAGGTCGAAGCTTGGGGCAATCCTCTTTCAGAGAGACATCATAGTTGCAAAACATTTGTGAACTCTGAATGCTACTAATACTGGACGGGGACCTGAAATCAGAGCATGGCATGACTGCTGAAGACGCCGGACCCCAAAGTGCCCCTTTCTGCGCTCTCCGAGGCACCAGCGAGCCGCCAATGCCCAAACCCCTGTAGTAACGCAGGTCATCTTCAACCAGCAGCTTGTAGTAGAGATACCTTGTGGGAGTCGTGGAGATGCCTTGGGCTTGGGGTAGAGTTCTCCTCATCAGGAGCTCCTACTCCTCACACCTGCACGCGTCTTACACCGACGTGACAGCCGGGTTGCCAAATCACACCCGGCCAAAACGTGGCCAGGCACAACCAGCGTGCCCACATGGGGAAGCCCGCCTTCAAACTGTTAGCACCGTCTCATCCTGGACAAGCCATTTCTTCTGCAACCAGGGAGCTGGGGCGGTCTCTCCAGACTTCTCCAGGAAGACAGCAAAGGAGGGGAAAGCCCACCTGCGACACAAATGGCCTTCCTCATAGTCATAGCGGTTGCATGAGTACCGATACAGCAAAGACTACTGTAGCAGGGCTTGCAAGCGCCGACGCACTGGATGCAGCCCGGCGGCATTAAGTCACGAGGCCTAGGCACCAAGTGAGTGCTGCCGTACCGACTTTGCTAGCAACATGACGGCGGTGAACGAGGCTTCTCGAAGCTTTTCTTCTTGCCATTCGTTTCTGCTAAGTCTTGTCTTGCCTAGCCAGCATCTGTCCGCTGTCCTCTAGACGAGGGACGAGCTGGCTGCCGCGATTGTGCCTACCATCAAGTACATGGGGGCACGTGGACGCCAAGTCCAACCTGTTCTAGCAATATGATATGGCATCGGTTCGATGCCAAGATCTCTTCCGATTTCCTTTGATCGGCCAAGCGAGAATCACACTCGCCACAGGCAAAGGACAAAATATTCCCTGTGGCCGGCGTGTAGAACACCATGGAACACCAAAGCAAATCCTGTGCTGCCGCCCGGTTCGCGAAGTTGCGATCGAAAATGTGAGGGCTTCGCCCGCGATCTAGAAAAGCGCAAAACGGCAGACCGGGCAGCTTGCCCACGAAGCAAAGTGTTTTCTGCTTTTTTACTGGAACTTCAGAGGCACCACCAAATCCTGAGGGCTCTCTGATGTGCTCATGCAAGGTTGCCCGGGCTAACCTTGGTGGCGACGCAGTGACATGATGCCCCCCCTGCATCCCTGCAAGCCGCCGGGCAGTCGCAAAACAGCCTGGAGCAGGCAAGCAGCTCACGCTGAGACCGAGAGCCTGTTGGCCCAGGACGCCTCCGACTCCGAGGAGGTAGCCTAAGTCTTTCGTCACAGGCAGGTGCAGTTGCAACGTGTTGCAACAGCGGGTGTCCTTCCGTCGTCTCCTGCTGTCTCACCCCCATCGCTGCTTTCGAGGGGCCCACAAGAGCAGCAGGTGCCACGCTGCGGACGTACCAGCCGAAGGAGACCTCCTGAGTCGGACAGCTGTGCTTAGAGATTCCCACTTTTCGCCCACTTAAAGGATCATGGGACTTCGTAAGTAGGGGACTTATAATTATAACCTTACTTACTAAGTCCCATGATCCTTTAAGCAGGCCCCATCGGCCTTCTCCATGCCCATGAAGGCCACTCCGGCCGCAGAGCCAATCACCAAGAGGGAGCCGCCTCAACCGTCGCAGGAGTCTGCGCGGCAGCTGCATCCACAAATCTGTAATGTAGGAACTTGATTAAGAAACCCTGATATTAACCCTAATATATTGGGGTTAGAGGGCCAGGGTTTCTTAATCATGTTCCTACATTAGGCAAACCCACAAGGCCCACGCAGAAAGGGCTTTCATTTCCGGGGCCCCCTGCCAGTGGCAGCGCAGTAAGTGATGAGGTTCCAGAGACCGTCGTTGGCGGGGTGCGCGGAGAGGTCGTACATTCCCTGGGTCGCCGCGACCAGAGGGACGTTGTCCACGACAGCGGAGGCGAAGCCCAGGAAGACGGCCACCAAGGAGTCGTCGGGAAGGAGCTGGCTGAGCTGCTCCGCGAAGTCCTTCAGCAACCCCACCCTCTCCAAGGCTCCCACCGCAAACAGCACACCCAGGAAGAAGAGCGCATCCGGGACCTCCACCCGCTTCAGCGCGCCCTTCAGGGAGTAGCGATCGTCCCCCGGCTCGTGGAGAAGGCTGGTGATGAGACCCAGCAAACCCAAGACCAGCATCATCCCGGTCCAGGCAGGGCATTTCGTGAAGGCCGTGAAGACCGGCACCCCTACCATTCCCAGCAAACCACCCCAGAAGACCAACTGCTGACCGGCCGGTGCCTCTGTGCTGACACTCTTCTCTTTGCGCCGCTGGAAGGGTTTCCGGCCCTCGATCACGAACAGGAGCTCGTAGCCCATGGCGCCCAGCAAGCATAACGAGCTCGGGACAAAGAGGTTCGTTAACAGGGGCACGGTGGTGACCTGTCCGCCTCGCGAAGACTAAGCCGACTAAGCGAGAAAGAAGAAACCTGCAAAGTCAAGGCAACAACTTCAAGAAAAGCCTCTTCTCGGCCTTTACAGAGTTTCCTCTCATGGTCGCAGCCAACGCTTTTGGCAAACGTGCTTTGAGATCATAATTTGTTCGCGTTCTCTTGTGCCTAATACCTCACATCCCATATCAACCCATCTGAAGCTTTGCGCAGCTGCTAGTTTCAGCTTCGTGCTCAGGCATTTGCTCTGGGACGAAACGCTGGTGGGACCGGGGCAATCCACATCAATCCTTCGCGGCGGTTGCGTTCCACTGCCCTCCAGCGATTCTTTTCTGTGGGAGCTTATTGGCATGGGTAACTGTAGTTTGAAGCGGCTGGCTTGCTCCATTCAGCCCAGTCTCTCACCAGTATAGCTCCGGTTTGCTTAGTAGGGCACACGGCATGGCAAGAGTCTTAGAAGCAAGATGGGAGGATGCGCCTATGTACAGCATGGTGGTAGTGATGTCCCCAATGGGAGTCCAGGCCCCACCAGCATTGGAGGCCACCACCACCAGACCTCCAAGTTTCATCCGAAAGTCATCGTCCTGGACGAGCCTTTGGAGCAAAGACACCATGACGATAACCACGGTGAGGTTGTTCAGCACTGAGGAAAGGAGGAAGGTGAGGACGCCGATGGTTATCAGCAAATCTCTCTGGTTGGTGGCCTTGATGGCTGAGGTTATTATGTCAAACCCTTTGTGCGCATCCATGATCTCCACAATGGTCAGAGCCCCAAGCAGGAAAAAGACGACTTCGGCGACATTCTGCAAGGTTTCTGCGATCGCCGTGTCAAACTCGGCGGCTGTCATGTCGATGCCTCAGCGCTCTGCTGCTATGTTGCCATGCTACGCAGCTACGCTATACTCTCTTTCCGTGCTCCTTCCGGCGCAGGATTCCTGCACGTGGACAAGCCGAGCTGCCAGTGCCGACCAAGGCCCAGACCAGAACCTCGGGACGTCCCTCCAACATCCTCTGCAAAAGACAGCGAAACAAAGAACTGTGACTAAGCTGGCCAGGGTGCTCCGAGTATCAAGGCCGTGGCTGCCTTGTTGATCTCAGTCTGCTCCTGCAGAGCTGGGAAATTTGGTCATTGGTGCTGGCAGCTCGCAGGCAGCAAAAGCAGCGACTGCATCCAAGAACATTGTTATTTGCAGCGATGTCCTCCAGGACGATGACAGCATAGCCTCGACAATCAAAAGCTGCACTGGTCGACATTTTGGTGTCTGTGGCCGGCCTGCCACAAAAGTGGCCACTATAGGAAAGTACTGGTACTGCGCCTCTGACAAGAATGGGACCGCAACCTCGGCCAGAGCGTCATCCTATCTGGCCAAAGACACTCACCTGCACCCACCGACGGATGGAATACCGCCCGTATGCATCGAGTTGCCCAGCTGTGCTGGATTGCAAACATCAGAAGCCTGAGCTCGCATCTGTCTCTGTGACAAAGCTATGCCATACCAGAACTGGTAACTTCTTTTGGGCGATGTCACTCCTCCCTCCCGATCAGTCTATACCCTTTCCACTGCAAAGCATGCGCTTTCTTCACCAGTCCCAATGCTCGCCGGGGAGCAGCCAGGCCGCCAGGCCCATCAGCGCAGGCGGCACGCCGCTAGCACGCTCCGCTTTCTGCGCCAGCGTGCTTCCTCCTGCGCAGCTCCAAGCGCTTCTTGGGAATTGCGAAAAATTGAGGCCCTCCTCTTTCAATTCCCTCCCCGTCCCCGTCGCCTCGCACTTGCATCGCTGCCGCCGCCACGATGGGCACCAGCGCCAGGCTCGTGGCGCTCATCTTCGAGGGCGGAGCTCGCCTCGGCGACAAGGCAAAGGGCTCAGTTCTGCAACCTGCCTTTTGCTTAGTCTTGCTTTCCAGCTTTCGGTTTCGTGTCTTGGAGTCTTGCAGACAACCCCCCCCCCCCCGGCTACTCGGCCGAGGGTCGCAGCGGTGAGCAGGGCCCTGTGCCCCTTCGCAGGAGAGCTGAGCGTGCGAGACCTGAGGGGCTCCAACCACGGCAAACACTGTGCGGAACATTCCCTAAACTCTGGAACTCCCCCCGGCCCTCTCGCTGCAGTCTAGCGGGCCCCTGTGGCGTCTCCACTGCATGGAAGGTCAGTGCTGCCCGCAGCAAGGCCCAGATCAGGGCCAGGGGCGCCAGCGCCATGCCGATCACGCGAGCCATGCGCCGTGGCTGCAGTCGGGGACCTCGCAGAGCGCATCCCCCCGGCCCTCGCTTCCGCAAACCTCCGTCTAGCTCCGTCTCTCTTCGAAAAGAACGCCCTCTCCGAAAAGACCCTGAAGGCGCTCCTAAAGCTGCAAGAACTCCCAGGGCCTTTATGCAGCTCTACCTTGTCCTCGCTTCCTCCTATCCCTGCACTCTGCGGCAAGCACTGGCAAAGTTCCTTCGATCTTGGCACATGAAGTGTAGAGTGCAGAAGAATTAAGACCTCAAGCCTGAATGGGATTCCCGCGAGCCTGGGCATCTGGACATGGCTGCGATCAAAAGCTCCTACGTCCTGGCCGCAGGGCCTAGGCCCAAGGCCCCTTCCCATCGGCTTCCTCTGAGCCAAAAGGGCCCCGCAAACAGAATCAAAGAGCCTTTCAGCAACTGAGACGTAGGCAGATCCGCTTAGCTTAAGCCCGCGGCTCGGGCACCTCCTCAACCTTTGGCGTTGTTTCTGATCCGAAGCTCGGCAGCGCGAACTCTGGCCATGTCGCCTCCTCCGCAAGAACTATTGAAGCAGGCTGCGGCTTCCTGTGCGGCCTGTTCTACATTGCTACATCTGCTTCGGAGACAAGAGACTCGGCTTGGAGAACTGCCCGACGAGCCTCCTCCGGCGCAGCCGTCGCCGCCACATCCTCGACAGTTTCACAAATGCTTCGGTCTCTTCGCTGGTTGCTGATCGAGCCCCTGGTGGCCCTCTAGGTGCCTCAGCACGGCGGAAGAGGGCCCCGAGGCCAAGCGGAATGGGTGACCCGGCAAGCACCTAAGTGCAGAAATTGCAGAACACTGGTGAGAGGCACGGACGACGGCAGCGGGAAGGTTCGCTAGGGATGCGGCCGAAAAGGAGGCAAAAGATGCCAGGCCTTCGACATCCAGCGCGCCGCGAGGCACACGGCGGCTCCGGGGCGAACCGGAGCCTTCAGGGCTCACAGGGCAGAAGTGTTTTCGCTTTGGGAGCCAGGCCTCGCGGTGAGACGAAGCTGCTCCCAGCCAGGGCCAGGACCAGGACGAGCCTGCAGCCGCCAGATCTGCCAGTCCAGAGTCCCGTCTCCTTCCGCTTGGAACATGGGGCAACAGCTAAGAACGGGACAGCGACAGCACAGCCGTGGCTGCCAGCGGCCTCTTTCTGGGCACGTCAAGGAGGGGCCGAACTCCGAACTGAGCCGAACGGCAGCCTGCGCAGTGCCGGCAAGCGAGGGCGCAAGCGCGCCATGCGCAGACGCGCCATGGCAGCACCCGAAAGAGCTCCGATTCTCGCTTCGTGCTTGCATATTCCATTGTCGCTGTAGCCGGGCCAAATAACAGCAGCTCTACAGCCCTTATCAGCCATTATCAGCCTCAGGACCAGAGGCCCACTAGGCAAAGGCATGGAGAGCCGAAAAGGCTGTTGGCCAGCGAAGCAGGCAGGGTTCCACTAGGTTTCTGGAGTCTACCAAACTCCAGAAACCGCGTGGTGACAGGACCGGTCAAGGGTGGCATGCGATCGCCTCGGTCCTGGCGGCTCGACCGAGCGCCGCGCAAACACGGCAAGGCCCGCAACGGCCAGGGGTGAGCGGCGCCTTGGCGCACGGCCACGAAGAGACTCCGTAGAGGCTACAGGCACCGCAGGCTAGGCCGCAGGCGCCATGGCAGGATCTAAGGGGGCCTTGTGCGGCGCGGTGGGAGGCGGGACACTGCTGACAGCTGCAAGGGGGCAAATGGGGCAAGTCGGCAAGGCACAAGCAGATCATGGACCGGGGCTTCAGATCCCGAGGCAAAGGCAACCACGCAAAATGCTTTCAGCGGCTGCAACAGGCACTCTCCGTCGGCGGAGCTTTTCTCTGCTCCTAGCTTGCCTGAAGGTGATTTTACCTCCTGTTCACCCCTACCCGGTTGTGTCCTTCTTAGCGGTTCGCGACGACCAAGAACACACCCCGTTACATGATGTGCACTCTACGACTCTATGCTCGGAGGGCACGGATCCAGTGCTCACTCAGGGCCCGCTGCCACCTGTCAGGCTTGTTGGACGAAGCTCAGTCAAGAATGCCAAGGGAGTCTGAGCCAAATCTCGGCCACACACCCCCCGAAAAAAGGCCGGGCCTTTCGCGTTGTCACCTGGACAGCGGCAACAGACTGAGAACGGCTGCATTTCAAGTTTGGGCGGGTCTGTTCTGGCGCCAAAATGCTTGAACCGCTGGCTTTTTGCCCGCGCGATATCGCACGATTGGAGGTTTGGAATGGTATGAGAGGACCTGGGGTCAGAGTGGGTTCTGATTCCGAAAGCTCACCTGGCCTGAACAGCTCATCTTGGTCCCTACTTGGCCCTACTTGGAGGCGCCTCTGGCCAGACGATCGCACCTGCCGGCTGGAGCTTCATGAGTTCCTGGCGAAGCGAGACAGGTTGTCTGCTTACAGGCCGCTGCGCACTTCTCCATTGTGCCCTCTACATCCAGTATGCATTGAGAAGTACGAAGATGTACGAAGCAGAACCGCAGAGCTGGGCCAAAGGTGAGAAGCAGCCAATCACAAACTGTCAGCTGGGACTGGAGCTGACATGAACGTGTTTGCTCCTGGTTGGGGCTTGATGTCAAGGCCGTTCGGTGCCGGTGCCGGCGAAAGATGCACAATGGGCTCAAGGACTGTAGTCTGAGTCGTTTCGGAGTCTTCACCCCCCACACACATATTTGGTCACGCCCTCGATTTACTCAACAACATGTACTTCGTCGCTCCCGGAGTTCTGCAATGCTGACATCTGAACGACGGCCAACCATGCCAATCGGATGTCACCCCTGGCCAACCTGGACCTGTGCTCACGGTTCTGGAAGCTCAGGGAAGCGCCTCCGGTGGCTCGTCTGGCGGTGGCGGCAAGGGCGCGTTGGGATCGAAATCCTCGTCCTGTCCAGAGCTGCGCACGGGGCCTGTTGTCGTTTCGGATTGAAGGCTGAATGTCCAAAGGCCGCAGAGGGATGCAACGACTCTCTTTGGATAGGTTGCATTCAACTGAGCGTCTCAACTATCAGACACGCATACATAAAAGTATTCTCTTGTGTGTATGTATGTATGCATGCATGCATGCATGCATTTATGTATGGGGAGGATGTATGTATGGATGCATGTATGTATGTTGGTGTGTGTATATGTGTATATATATATATATATATATATTATAGAGAGAGAAAGAGAGACGGTTTTTTAATACGTGCATTTTTAATACCCAAACAGATAGTTTATACTACCTCCGTTGGCTTCCGGCCCGGGCCGCCCAGTCCAATTTAGCGGATCCCCCCAACGGGGTGGTGCGGGGCGCAGGGCGGTGGAGGGCGATGGAGGGCGGTGGAGGGCGGTGGAGGGCGGTGGAGGGCGGTGGAGGGCGGCGGAGGGGTGGAGGGGAGGTGGAGAGTTAAGGGGTGGAGACATACAGTCATGTGCTGCACAATGGATATCCAAGATCGTGTTTGCTCAGATGTGTCAGGATCACACAGAATCACACACCTCCGGGTCCGGTGAGATGTAATCCCAGTCGCTGCTAAAGTCCGGCGGGGGTCCTGACAAAGGGTCCCGGGCTCGGCACTGTCTGCGAACGAACTGTGCGAATGACGTCGGCCACGACCTCCGCTGCGGACATGAGATGACCCCTTCGCGCCTGGAAAAGGTCCCAGTCCCTCCACATACATGGTCACCTGGTGCTCGGCATGAGTTGCACATGGCCGGCAACACGCTCGACATCGAGATGAAGAAATGCATAGTTGTCAAGTACTTCCAATCATTCTCCTTCAACTGCGGTGCTCGCCATGAGCTTGATCTGAGACCCTGGCATTTGTCTCATACTGCTCCCGTAAAGTGATAACAGGAAAGCCGTCCTCGCAGTTCCAAGCCGCAGGCTGCGGCTGAAAACAGACCTGTCCTTTACTCTACCGTCGTCCTTGAATGAATACGCAGCCCAAAAAGAGAACGCACCTATATCGATATGTCTAGACCTCCAGTTGCTCCTCGTCCCTGGGAACGCCAGCAGGAAACTTCTCGGCCTGGCGGGAGGTTCAGTAGCCGAAAGCGCTGCGTGCAGCCTGTCATAACTCTGCCACGCTACGCCTCTGGATTTGGGATGATGGGCCGCCCTCCAATCCGCCCATAAGGAGCTGGAGCACCTGAGGCGCTGGGCTGTGCAGTGAAGCGCAAGCCAAGAAGGTTCATGGGAAGGCAGAAGAAGCATTTTGTTTTTGGGCCGCTGGCAAAGCGCCTGTACGTCTAAGTCTAAAGGTCTGAGTCGGTCTTTCCCACTTGTGAATGTCTGCACCTTGGCGACGGGAACCTGAACACTGCGCGGGCATGAGCCTGCAAACTTGCAACATGGTGCGGGGCCGCCCTGTCTTAATGAGGCAGATGCACAAATCCAGGCGAAAGGAAAGGTTCAAAACGCATTGCAGGGTGGCCTACCGCGCTTGAAAAAGGAAACGAAGCCCCGAGTAGAAATTCCAGGGCAGGGAACTTGAGGAACCATTGAAATCAGTAACATCTGTAAGAGGACAGAGCCATCTTCACCCATGTGCTTTGGGCTTTTCACTGGAGGCGCTTCCAAAGGACTCGGTCTGACGGACTTGATGTGCTCTGTCCCAACAGCAACTACTTCGGGCACGCCCCAACGTGAGCAACCTATCGCAGACGGTAACACTGTTCAACTGCCGGACACGACAGGGCTCACATGGCGATGCGCACAGGCTTCGGTCCACCCGGGACAAAAGTCGACTTCATGTACTCCATCTCCTCGGCACGAGTAGTTCCAATGAGTCAGCCATCTACTATCCCTGAGGTCGGGCAACCCTTCCCGTCCTGCTGTCGGACTTTCTCTACAATCTCCATCCTGCCTGAGATTTTGGACAAAGCATGACAAAGCAGTACCTTTCTGAGCAAGCATGGCAACCAAGATGCTGGGTGCTGCTGCAAGCTTCACCTTCGTCATCTGCTTCTCCTCACAAACTGCGCAAGGATTGGGTCGAAGTCTACGCTTCGTCCCGCCTCGAGCACTGCACGGGGCACCGGAGGATTCGTGACAAAGTCCACCTTACCCAACCTGTCACGAGGGGCTCTGCTCCTAGGTTCGAAACATCGCAGGTCTCCCGGAGCGACAGGGAACCTGCGTGATCGCCCGCGTGAACACTCCTAGCCGCCCGAGAAAGCTCACCCCTGCCTCGAAGTGGATGGGCTTGCGTAGCCGGCCTTCCAACAAGAAACCCACTGCGCGTGGCAACAGAAAAGTCTTGATCAAGCAGCTTAGCCAAAACGGATCCGGTTTGCCCACTCCAGCAAGGACTGCGAAGGTGCCTGGGCCCCAGCAAAGAGGGCGCAGGCGACCAGGGCCAGCACCGGGGAAGCCCAGCTGGGATTCCAGTCCTCCGGCGACGAAGCCTCCAGGGGTGAAGGGGTGAAGGGATGTGGGGCGGGGGGTACATCAGAGCTTTGGGGCGATAATTCTTGAACCCGCTCGGCGGTTCCACGGCTCCAGCTGCGGCACGGTGCGGCTGTCCACGTCTGAAAGAACGTGCTCCTACTCCTGCCACAGTTCTGTGCATCTCCGCCGAGGCGGGTGCTCCTGGGCTATGACTGCTCGGTCCTAGGTGCTCTGTCACTGCTTGGGACCCATGCTGGCTGCTAGCATTCGCAGTATCGGGGAGAGATGAGAACCGGCAGCAAGATCAAGATCCCCAAACAAGATTTGGCAACACATGCCGAGCACAAGCTACAGTATGGAATTGCCCTGCGCAAGCGGCAGCCAGCATAAGTAAGAGGCATGACGAAAAGAGACAGCTGTCAGTCTATGAAGACCGGCCCTTGGTGGACAGGCCGAGCAGTGCACTGGTCAGAGCTGACTGGCGCGATTGGCACGGCAGCTACAAGTGGAACCGTAGCTCGAAGGCAGCAGACCCACCAAAGGGCTGAAAGGCACAAGACTGCAAGAGACTCGAAAGCTTCACGCGACATCCACATTTTTGTGGGGTATCTGCATACAGAAAAGGCTCCCGCCTCTGCGGCCTCAGAGGCCCTCGCGGTCATGCGGCGAGGTGCCGAAATGGGTCCGGGCGCCGGGACGAAGGCGAAGGCGAAGCAGGCCGTCACCTGAGCACGCCCCGAACTGCCCTTCTCAAGCATTCAGGCCGTGGGGCCTTTGGGACCTGGCTGAGGCTTCACCTTCTTAGAAGCTTCTGGTCGCGAAGGCTAGCACGTCGAGTCCTACATCAAAGTTCTGGTTAAACACACAAACTCCTTCGACGAATGTTGTGCCGAGATGCAATAAAGAGAACCACGCTCATCGCACGGGCCATGCTGTTTGACTGTTGAGGGAAAGGAGCGGTCGAGGAATGTTGCCGATGCCAGGGAGCCAAAAATGCTGCGAGCACTTGTATGCTACCACACATTCCTGCAAAGCTTCGTTTCAAGTTGAACAGAAGTTCACGTGGATCAGGCCCTCAACTTGCAGTCGAAGGCCCTGGCGCTTCCGCATCCCCGGCGCAGCGAAAGCCTGCTGGTCTCAAAGACAACGATGATTGAGTTTAGACTATCCGTCGGATTGCCGCTTGCGCCCAAACCAACCGATGGCCTGCACATCCAGTAGCTTCGCCAATCCCGCGACCTTGCAGCACGCCGACGAGCCCCGTTTCATGTGGTGACCAAGGACCAGGGAACTCCTTGCAAATCTGCGCTTTTTCCTTCTGGAGCCTGTGTGCTGACAGTGTCAGACGTCCTAGGCGTTCTTCGGCTAAGAATGCTAGGAGCTAGGGAAGCTGCAAGGCTTGCTCTCTCAACTTCAGGGTGATATGGGTACCCTGCCAAGGTCCGAACTTCTCCATGTCGTCAAGCATCTCTCGCGCACTGGGCCCATCGCCGGCATAAACATACGCTCGCAAGAGCTCCTGGTAGGTCAGTCCCGACGGTTGGACGCCGGAGCTTTGCATCTCGTCAAGGATCTTCCTACACTGGCTAGGGTCACGTCGGTGACAAGAGAGCAGCCCTGTCCATGTGTCACATTCAGGTTGGATGTTGTAGTGGGGCAGCATCTCGAAGACTGACCTGGCTGTCTCAGCCAGCCCATCCTTTGCACATGAGATGATCAAGGCGTTGAAGTGATTCCTGTTCGGCTGCACACCTTTGGATGTCATATCCATGAAAAGCTCTCGCACGGCGGCATAGTCGCCAAGCCTGGCATAGGCCCACATCACGCCGGCATAGCTTGATTCCCTGCTTGAAGGATTCGCCTCTGCGACAACGGCTTCGGGAACGCTGTCGAAAGTCTCTCTTGCCTTCTCGGCCATAGAGACCGCCGCATAAGCCGTAATCATGGTGTTGTAGGTTATGAGATTGGGTGATATCCCATTCAGCTGCATCTCTTCGAAGAGCTGCTCTGCTTGATGCACCCGTTTCGTGTCGGCATACATCTTGATCATCGTCGTATAAGCAACGACGGATTTCCAGTCATGCTTCATGTCTGCCCAGAGCGCCTGTGCTTCCTCCGTCCAGCCAGCTTTGGCACAAAGATTCAGACCCACGCAATACTGGACTTCGCCCTCTTTATCCAGTGTTCCCCAGAGCTGCCACGCTTCTTCGAACCGCCTGGCCTTGACGAGGCGATCAATCTGGCTCGTTGCTTTCCTAACTTCCGCGCTGGCGGCGGCCTCCGCCGCGGGCCGCAACGTACGCAAGTCATGTGCTCTGGCAAAGTCGCGGCTGAGCTTTAGGCTCTCCCTCTCCTGCCGTTTCAGCTGCGCCGCCTCGAAGCTGACACCACGCTGCGCGCCCTGCTGCGCACGCAATGCCGCGAGGGGGAAGGCATGGCATCTGCGAAGCATGTCGCGTTGCTGTGAATGAGAATGGCCTGTCGGATCGTGCTCTCCAACTGTCGCAGACCCTCTCAAGCTAGCAGAAATCGACTGGCATCCTAGTCCTACACCTTGAAGGGGAATTGATCCTACACACGCTTCAAAGCTGCGCTCGGATTCGGCAGAGAGAAAGTGGAACATCTGCCGTGAAGTTTTCTGCAACCTTCCAACAAGGTGGCCTCCAGATGACAGATGGTACAGAGATTTCACTGAGCTGCCCAGCCACTGCAGCAGTGCAGGTTACAGCGAGCGGCAGAGCCAGGGGCGAGCGGCGCCTACGACTCGCAGGAATCCCACTAGCGATGGACTAGTTCTCAAAGGACCACGACCCTCAACAAAGTGCGAAAGGAATGAAGTTAGTCGCACACGCGCAGACACTTCTCGACAGCTCCACCTCCTGCCCACTGCCATCACCACCACTACCACCACATCATCAGCACCAGCTCAAGTTGCACCATTGTCTTAGATATCGTGCACTTCCAAAGCGCTGTCGAGCTCTGCATGCCCAAGAAATGACACCTGCTTTACCTGATGGCTAAAACTCGTATCCCCATCCGAAGTCCTGAAAAGAGGATGGCATGCGGAGCTCCACCTCCTGGGCACCTCACATCACCCCGATCACTTTGCAACTTGCCTCTGTCTTCTTCTGTTCTGATATTGAAGCGAACAGAGGTTGTCATTGTAGACAGTGGCAAGGATTCCCCTGACCCCACCTTTCTGGAACATGATGGCGCTCCGCCATTCTTCCAGCTACCTGTGAAGGCAGCTCCTTCTCCAGTCGCTCTGCGTTCATACTTCCTTATGTGAGAAGGGCACTGAGCTCATGCGTGCGTTCAAGATTGTTCTACGCATATTCGAATCACTTTCCACACACTCCATGATACGCTGAAGCTTGCACCGATAAGATTGCGGCAGCAAGAACACATAGCTTCAGCCCTGAGGGCCCGATACCGAACTACAGGCCATCTCGGCTACCATCGAAGCGTTCCCAAGCCATTTCTCCACAGTCGCCGTGGGGCAAGGCAGACGTCAAAGTGATCTCTGCCCCGCGCTGTGCTGTACAGAGGGCGAGCTGGTGTCCGAACTCGGCAGGCAGGGAGGCCGCGGGCCGCTGTGGGTCTGCGCACGGGTTCAGGGTGCCGTGCTACGCCGCGCTGATAAGCTCACGCTAGGAGGCCTTCAAAGGTCAGAGAGCTGGCACACCCGGTCACATGCAATGAGTCAACTTAGCGCGCTTCTCAGCTTATTCGGTTTCGGGTGTTTGGGGCTGGATTGCCGTCTTACCAGCTACATGCTGAGCCGGTTCAACTTCGAATCGTCTGGAAGCAAAGTGATTGAGAGTTCGCATGTGTCAGGCGGGTATAGTGTCTGCAAGCAGTGCTGTTTCAGAGTGTTCCGCGGTCTGACGGCAAGACAAACGATAAACTGACGAGTCTGCCAAATACGATGGGTAAGAGTATCAGCAGGAGCATTGTTCATGGGAGTCTATGGTTGACATGCGTCTGTGCCGGGCGGGGTGGACAAACTTTGGTTAGAGGTGCACATCCAACAGCTACGAGTAGGAGGCGCTGATCTTGCTCATTACATCAGAATTGTGCAGGCTTGCCAAACTTCGTAGCAGCGTCCACTTCAGAACCAACTTAGATATCTGCTTCGTTGCGGTGAAAGATCGTTGCTTGCAGGCCCCTTGTTCGCAGGCCCCCAGCGGCATTGCGACCGTGTAAACGCTAAACGCTCCTGGTAGGAACAGTGAGCGTCTCCTGCCGAACGCCAACCGCGTCTGTTTCAGATTGACAAGTTTGTCAGCCCAGAAGCCGTTGTTCGGATGCTTGCAAAAAAAATTCTGGCATGGCACAAGCGACCCGCACAAACCAAGGGTACTTACTAATGACTCGACCCACAAATTGAAGCCGAGGAATACCTTGAACGGCCGCTGGACTGGTGAGACTCCGCTCGGAAGCAACAGGCGAAGAGGGAGACAGGAAGTCGCTGAGCCGCCTTTAAGTCTTTAAGAGTCTTGCTCTTGCTCTCCCTTCTTCGATTTTATGGTTGCTTCCGCTGCGGCGGCTGCCAAGTTGCCCTCGCTGGTAAGGGGGATGCTGCAGGCAGTAAGAACAAAAACATGCTCGCCGCACCTCGCGCACGCAATACATGAAGCAGACGAGGCGCGAATTCTGTCTGGCTCAAGCCAAGCCAAACTGTGATTTCCACGATGCTGATGGATGGAGATATCTCCAGCAGAAAAACATTCCTGGGCATTGGGATTCCTTGCTCTCCTGCGTCGGTGTGACCCATAGCGGTCACTGCCACACCTGTCAAGGCTTGAGTTTTCGCTTTCAAGCCTTTAGCACAAAGCAAGCACGCTGGCGCTGCTAGCAGAAGGTAAAAGATTCCCATATGCACCTTCTCTTCAACATCGCTCTTGTGGTTTTGGGCCTCACCTGAGATGGTGCACATCTGGCCATCGCATCTTGAAGCCCATGAGTCTGCCTTGTACTTAATATGCCGCCAAGTCTCAACTCTGCATCACCTGAAAGCGCAGCCATTTTTACAGATGTTCCCAGAGGAATACCGAAACTTCAAACGACTTCAAACGACCTTCGCCATGATGCTGTTGGTCATCTTGGTACGTCGGATTGCGCGCCTCGGCTCCGAAAACTTCACGGCTACCCTGACGAGCTCGGGCAGGTTGCCGGTGTCTTACGATGCACTGACTTCTACAGACATGCTTCCATCGACAGGCAAGTTGTGATCTGTTCCATTCTTTCGTGTTTGGGTGCCCTCTGCGGGATCGAGCATCAGATTCGTCTGGCTGTTCCTTTGACTTGTATCCTTGGTTAGTTACTCTGAGACACGACGTGGTTGAGAAATGAATGGTGCATCCGCTAGAACGCTAGACCTCACGAGACTTTCTAGCGGTGATGTCTTGCTCTCCGGGCTCTGCATCATGCGTCGCTGCTGCACGTGCTATCTGCCCCTACACGGTCCCCCATTCTGTGCTCCAGGCTGCGCAGGCGGCTGCGCGGGGATGGGCCTTGGCTAGCACCGCAAGCTTCCCTGTGCTCTCGCGTCCATGGATAGACAAGAAGCCCATGCTCCGGTTCGGCCGTTGGCTGTTCGTGGCGAATCATCCTCAGATACCATGATTCGGCAGCGCACAGGAAGATGACACCTCACGCAACATGCAAGATCGTGCAAGCAAGGTGCTGGAGCAGCTGTAGACCGGCCATCCTGGCGCATGCGACATGCGATGCAATGCGACGATGCAACATGGGAGCAGAATTCCACTTCAGGCGAGGTGCTGCCCTGTGATTTCCGGTGTGATTTCCGGATCCGGCTTCTGCTGCAGCATTTGCAGAATCGGGCTGGTCCTTCGGCGAGCCAGATTAGGTTTCGCAATGGTCCAAACCAGCAGTCCAAATTGAACTCCGGTCCTGGCAGCCTCTGCA